GGTCGTTCTGTTGCGCTGTCGCGTGGACGAAGAGTGCTGCCAGAGAATGACACGTTGATGGGGTTGGGTGCTTGACAAGGTGTTGAGATAGTAATGCTGAGTGGAATGAGCCAAGAGGAAACTTAAAACAAAGCGCATATTGCATGGATTGAGTGCGATGAGGAGAGTGAGGCCCGTTCACGGGAGGCATGTGGTCTGTGTCGCAAGTTCCGGGCAAGTGTTTCGTATGTGCGGCAATGTGCCTCGTTCTCGCTTCTTCCCGTCGTCCAGAATCAGCAAGATGATGCTAATAGCTATGCCGGCGGCATGCCTATTGATTTTGGAGCCAGCAAAGCTGCACAGCCATCATTTCCCGATGTGAATGTACGCTGGTCGTCTGGTGAGGCCTGCGGTGCACGAGCACGCGCCTGGTGGCGGGCAAGCCAAGCGGGTCGGTCGGCTCGATACACACCAGCGTCAGCGGGGTCTTCAAAATTTCTCATTTCTCCATCGTCCAGCAGCTTGTCTTCTTCTTATCGGCGCTGGCAGTGCATGTCAGCTTGCATGAGGGAGCAGCGTGACATGACGTGGCCGGACGTCGCTTACTGTTAAATGCTGCACACCGCATCGGGCTGGAACCATCGATTGATTGAGAGTGAGTAGCAGTAATGGCTTACGCTAAATATGCTTCATCCGCAGTGTGTGATGAACATTCCTTCGGGAAGCCCAGTCGCGCTCACGACGCCGCCGCCTGCTGGCAAGGTGTTCAGGAGTGCATCTTAACTAGGTGTCCAGTTTTCGTTCACAGTTGTTTTGCAGTTCGATGAGCGTGCATGGGCGAATAGAGTGCATCCCTCTCCACATCATAACCCCAGTTAAGTTTACGCAGTTGCCGCCAGTGCTTTTCGTTTTTCTTGCAAAGCATCTTTAGCACTGGCAGTCTTCCCACTTATTTTCAGAAGTGATTGGTACTGCGTTGGTACATCTGGCCTTGCGGAGAAGGTGAAGAGGTAGCGGGGGAGTTCCTGAATTCAGTACACAGCAGCTGCTGGCGCCTTTCATCAGAATTTCAAAACTCTTTAAAATACATCGCATTCTCGCAGAAAGCCACCTCGGACATCCTTACTCGCACTGTCGATGACGACTGTTTTAGATTTTATTCAGAAACTTGAGTATGATACTTTCGGAACCGGGTTGTTCTGCGACCTGCGCAACTCACCCGGCCCCCTTGTCTTGGATCTGTTTTGAAGGTCCACCAGAACAGGCGATTGCTTGATCTCTTGTTTGTCCAAGCCAAACGTATCATTGTCGCTTGCTGCTGGCAGATCCCCGATCTCGTCGCTGTCGGAGAGGGGAGCGGCGTTGCATGCATCTGCGCAGGAGATGGAAATTTAAAAAGAATGACACCGAAGCACGATATTTTTTAGTCGGAACTGGCGCGAGTATAAAGCCGGAGCTGCCTGCTCCCGGAACACGGATACCGGAGCGAGCGTTCCGCCGCTGCCGCATTCCTGCTTCTGTTGCCAGTGAAAAATTTATTGATTTCAGTTGACCTTTCGTCGGACTTTCTGTGAATAAAGCACGCGAAAGTGAATCGATCATAGTTGGGCCTAATGCAGCGGCACACAGCTGCCAGGAACTCCTCATGTGTGGTCAGCGCTGCCTCCAGCGCATGCTTGTTTTCTTGGCGCGCATACCTGCTGCGTCAGTGCGACGAGCATACCTGCTGCGTTTTTTTCAGTGTGTTTCTGGCTC